ATATATATATATATATATATATATATATATATATATATATATATATACATTTTTGGTGTCCTCGATCGACAGCAGAGATAGACACATCACATTCCACTTCCTCCAGAGACATATCAAGCTGCATGCGTGTCGTCCGGGCAGTTCAGCTCGCCTGAAGTTTGTCTCAAAAAAGTTGTCCATTGCATTGAGAGACCAACTGACTAAATCCACAAAAGTATGGTTCGGAAGATATTGTATGTAGAGAGAGGCTCAGAAGCAGTTTCACAGACAGGACAGAGCAGCAAAGCAAAGCGAAGGAAGGAGAGGAGGGAAAAAGCAAGAGCAAGTGGTGAAGTGAGCTAATGGCTCTGGCACAGGTTGGCTGCTAGTTAACTCCTAGTTGGAGGCGGAAATGTCCAAGACCTGCCTAGCGCTCCAGAAGGAAGAAACAAGAGTCTACCTGCGTGTTCTACTCCGAGCCAGGTTCGCAGATGGCGTGAATGGTCGGAGCTGAGGATGTATCCCATCTGCTAACGTCTTCTTCTGTGTCTTGGTTTTCTTATGCTGCTTGCTGGCTGAAGAAAAATTGGAGCCGATCTCTGGTCTCAGAAGTAATTTATACTGACCGGGGGTGGGGCCCACACAACATGTGGGCATGAACTAGGCACGCTGCACGCGAGGATAAACCCACTAGCAACAGCCTTAAAGGGTGAAGCCTATATGAAATAGATCCTGATGCATGCTCAATATCTGTAAATATGTAAGTATGTATCTGTAAATATATGAAATAGAGCTGATCCCTAACTTATACTCTAAGCCCTGATTGTGCGAGAGCTGTTTATAACGTTGCCATTAAATATTGGAATCAATTGCTTGTTGGTGAAATAGCTCATGAACTACTAGTATTTGCTGCTACTTTAAAAAATTAATTATTGGATGTACAGCTTCAACTCATTAACATCTGGACTCAACCCAGTTCAAGATGACCGCTTCAGCCAACTAACCTTTGAAAACACAATAATGGCTGTAATTCAGCCAGAACAATAAATTACTAAAACACCTCACACAGGGTTAAATGTCGGTGAGAACGCGTGTGTTTCTAAAAAGATTTAAAATCAGGAAGTGGAGTGGCCTGTCTAATGTTGGGGGGCAGATTCTTCCAAAGTTTGGGAGCCACAACAAAAAGAGCCCAATCTCCTCAGAGCTTTAACCTGACAACCAAGCAGCTGATCAGATGATCTCAGTGCCTGCAAAGGAACATAAGGTTGACGTAAGTTGGAGAGATAGAAGGGCAAAAGGTCATTTATATGTCAACAGGAGAATTTTAAATTATTTTCTGTGATGCACAGGAAGCCAAGACAGGTGGAATGGGCTCAAACCTTTGAGTTCCTGTTACGAGCCGAGCTGCAGCATTTTGGATGAGCTGGAGACGTGAAGGGGAGACCGGATTGATCCCAACATCTTGGCTCATGTTTTATGAGTTTTTGTCAGGAATAACATATCCCTTTAACTGTTATACATCAAACCTGCCAGGAACTAACAACAAAAACTAGTTTTTATGGCTGAATCTGCCTCATTAACAGAGTATTAATTATTGTTTATAGGTGTTTTGAAGTAAAAGTGCAGTATTGATGAAGCTTTGTGCTGTTTCTCTGCAGACGCGGTGTACGTGCTGTGCTACAGTCTGATTCTGCTGTCCATCGACCTCACCAGCCCACATGTGAAAAACAAAATGTCTAAGAGAGAGTTTATCAGGAACACTCGCCGAGCAGCACATAATGTCTCCGATGACTTTGTCGGCCATCTCTATGATAACATTTACCTGATTGGACACGTGGCTGCGTAGCTCTCCTTCCTACCACTAAAGGCATCAGTGATGGGGCTTCAGTGCGTCTCTGGAAACAAACATGGAGAAAAAGAAGTTTTCCAGTTTTCACTTTCTGCAAGGAATAGAACAGTATGTAGCAAACAAGACTTAGAAGAAACATTTTAACTAATCAGCAAACTGCCTCTTCACTGTAGCAGCAATTGTTCAACCAAATACTAGTAGTGTTAGCTTTTTAATTCAAGGTGAACGTGAAGGATGTTCCTGAACGAGTGATCAGCCAAAAAGACTGGTTCTGATCCTGCACTGATGGGGTCGCTGAAGAAACAATGAAGATGAGGAAGAGCACAGACCTCGCTCAGCTACTGATGCCAGGACAGTTCTGCTGAAACCTTTATGACCAGATGCTGCTTTGAACTTGTTGGCCGGGTAAAGCTCGGCTACTCACGGATGGTAAAACAAGACATTAAAACAAAGTCTTTGTGAAACCCTATTTATATATTGACCATAAAGTGATGGAGTCAGTCAGTTGATTTTTAAGCATCGTCTAGTCGTAAGTATATGCTTGTTTTTGTCAAATGAAAGTTTTGCTTGTGGACAGAATATGAAGACTTCTTAACCGGGCCTCATAAAACATTTTTTACAATCCCAATTCTGAAAAAGTTGGGTTGATTGCTAAAATGTAAATAACAGAATGCAATGATGTCCAAATCTCATAAACACAGAATTTTTTCACAGTATAGCTAAACAGTATAGATAAACATCCGATTTTTAAACTAAAAAAAATCGTCCATTCCATGAAAAATGAAGAACTTTAGGATGGCAGCAACACATCTCAAAAAGTTGTTCCAGGTCTGTGCCCACTGTGAAACACGCCCTCTTCTTTTAACAACAATGTTAATTAGGAGCTAAGGAGACCAGCTGTTGAAGGTTTCTGGCTGGATGTTTTGTTTAACGATGCACGAGATGTTTTCAGGTGGTAACAGGTGTGGACTGCAAGCAGGGAGATCATCCATGGCTCTTCTGTGGAGCCATGCTGTTTGAGTGGATACATGCCAGATGACATTATCTTGCTGAAATATGCAAGAGCCTCTCTGAAAAAGATTTAGTCTGAATGGCATCACATGTTGCTCTAAAAGCCTTTCCAGATGTGTAATCCATCCATGCTAAAGGCAGTAATGCACCTCCATACCATCAGAGAGGCAGTTTTCTGAACTGTGAGCTGATTAAAGGCTAGAGAGCCCCTCTATAGTTCTGTACAGAACAGTTTTCCAGTTTGCATCATTCTGTTTTAAATGAGCCAGTGGTCCCAACAAGACCAGTGCTTCTGGTTCTGTTCCCAAGTGGCTTCTTTTGTGCACAGGTTGAGCTTCAACCAGAATTTGTGGATGGCACTTTGAACTGTCCAGAGGACCACGCTTAACCTTTTTTAGATTTTTCTACCTGGATTATTGAGCATGCATCAGGACTCTGAACTGTGTTTACAGACGGTGATTTGTGGAAGTGTTTCTGAGCCCATGCCGTGATGTCCAGACCAGAATCTGACCCGTAGTGGGCCCCTGGGGGCCCCAAGATCACAGCCTTTTAATATTTATGCTCAGTTTTGTCCTTTGAGCTCAAAGATTTCTACAGATGTGTGAAAGCTTCTGGTGATATGAATGGTAGATGATGGGATATTTAAAGTCTACCCAGTTAGTCATTGAAGAACATTATTGGGAAATTGTTTCACTTTTTTAGGCCCAGTTCACAGACTGGTGGACCTCTGCCCATCTTCTGAGATTTTCTGAGTCTCTTTTAAATGCTGGTTTTACACCCAGTCCTTTCACTGACCTGTTGCCATTTAACCACGTTACTGGGTAGCAGCTCATTTCTCCTCCAGCAGTTTCTTATTTGTTCCATTTACGCCTCTTGTTCCCGTGCCCTAACTTTTCTGAGATGTGTTGCTGCCATCAAATTTTAAATTACCTTATATTTCCTTAAGTGTACAATTTTATTTGAAGAGTTTACTGTGTTCTATGTAAATAAAATATAGGTTTACGATATTTGCAAGTCATTTCATTCTGTTGTTAACATTTTAGACAATGTCTCAACATTTTTGCAATCCATGTCCATTCTTCTGCATCAGCCATGTTTTCTCTGGTTCTTGCAGTATTTTGTTTCCCGAGTTCTCAGTAATTGTGCATTTTACAGGAAGGTGATTGTCACAATTCTAAAATACCACTAAAGAGCATTTTAGTTATTATAGGTTTATTATAGGTTATTCACAAATGTCTAAAAAACTAGAACACAAACTTGGAAAAAAGGAATCCCTTTATGTCCTATTAGAAATGCACAGAGCGTCTCCTGACGGGTCCCAGCAGATCCAAAGTGCCCAAAGTGGTTCTGTTGAAGAACTCTCATCTTAAAGGGAATTCTCCTTGTTGCCCCTTAAAATGTTCCGGTTAGGGGCTTAAATTAAACTCTAGATTTGATACAGTCTGTTTTCTTTGCTAGACTTTTTACAGACTTCATACTAATTTTCTTATAAATACTAATATATTGAATTGGGCAGTACCAATTTGTAATTTAATAAAGCTCTGTAATTATATAGTTGAAAAAGTCTGAATGGACTTGGATTTTAATCGAGCTGATGTGAATCTTAATTGGATACTCCTTTCAGAGGGATTTTGTACAGAAGCTGAGAATGGCCAAGCATATGGTTATTAATTTTAATCTAATTTTCCTAAATTAACCATTTCTTTATTCTAACTAACCAAGTGAATCAGGACACCTGGAGATGATCTACAACAGTGTTGAGCAGTGATGGTTGCTGAAGAAGTTCCCAGTATGACTCTCCTGATGTCTGATCAAGAAGCGCCTCCTTTGTCTAATTATGATTTGAAATAATTTATAGTTGTCTTAAAAAAAAACCAAGCTTATCCAAGTCAAAATAAAATAAATAGCTCTATTTAAAAATTGCTTCAAAGGAGTGCTTGTTTCTGGATAAATCGTTATAAAAAGTAATTGTCTAATCATGTCCTCTCCTGTATTTTTTTAATTAAGAAGTGCAATGTCTTGATTTGAACTTGTTAGAAACGCACAGTAAATCATCATTAGGAGATATGAGCCAAAATTATACTTGATGCAACACATGATGAGATAGAAATTCTTCTAAACAAATGTCTGAGTTCCTTCAAGAACTAAAATCAGTCGTGAAAACAAATCTCTGGACAGATAAAGTCATTTCTGCACGAGGTCCACTTTCTCCGGTGTTGCACTGGGAACAAGTAAAACAGATTTAAAATCTGTAAAACTGCTAGTTCCAAATAATTAATTCATTCTATACGTCTCTCTGTCATTCATGTAAAAGCAGAATGTGTTTGGGGATTTGGAGTAACTTGTTTTTTTTAACCATGTTAAAACATTTTCTATGAAAAATAAACCCGTATTATCAGAATATGACCCTTAGAGGTGGAATAAGCTATTGGTCCATAAATAAAGTGTGCTTGTTAGCGTCATGAAGTTCTTCGGTTTTAAAAAATAGAGCTAGACTTACTCTATTTTTGCAGTGTACACATAATTATCCCAGTTACTACCAGTTTGTGCCTTAAGTCTTCTGGTTTGTTCCTGTCTTAATTATTCCTGCCATAATGGAATAATTTTTAATTTGAATGATGTCACGAAAAGTAAAATCATGTCGTCAGGACAGATTCTTTTTGGAAGAAACGTTTCGTTTTTCATCGGAAAGACTTCATCAGTCGAGGCCTGCCACCAAGGTCTGTCATATAAATAGGACCTCACTGATTTGTTTCGAACCAGTCTGCTGTGGAGTTCACTGAAACTGGCTGTGCACGTGCAAAAAGGGCTGGCTGTGCACGTGCAAAAAGGGCTGGCTGTGCACGTGCAAAAAGGGACCATCAGTTAGAGCTGTCATTTGTAACCCGGGCTCGACCTGACCTGAATTCAGGGCGGGCCGAGCCATGATAATGTGCTGAATGGGCAGGCCGGGTCGGTGTTGGGCTTTTGATTGGGTCAGCAGATCAGCCGCGAACCAATTATATGGTAACATGGCTTGCCATACCATCACCAGCTGCACGCGGCCATTTCACCGCAAGCTGACTGGCCTGAAAGAGGTAAAAAGTTCAGTTAAGCTTCAGATGGGACGGTACTGCCAGGAAGTGATCCATCACCCAAATGGACGTTCAGCCGCTGCACTCGGCGGACGCGCGCGGCCGATGACCCAAACAGGTGAGATCCCAAAGCCGACGTGTCATAGCAGTCCGTGTCTGAGTAATGCAGAAGAATGTACGCAGAAACAGGGTTGAAATGTTCTTTGACAAACACCCGTCAGCTCCGATCTTCTGCTCCTTTTATTCAGCCGTGCGTCCCCGACCGTTAATAACTTATTAAACATGACCGGGGGGTGTTCAGATTTGTAATTACTGTCAGTTCGTCAGGTCGGGTGGGATTTGGAAATGATTGCTGCTGGCTGGGGCGGGGTCGGATCGGATTTTTTGGGCCCGAATGCAACTCTACCATCAGTCCAGAACAATCGATCATCTGACTGTTGTGCACTGATGATCGATTGTTTTGGACTGATGGTCCCTTTCTGCACGTGCACAGCCAGTTTCAGTGAACTCCACAGGAGACCGGTTTGAACCACATCAATGAGGTGCTATTTATAAGACAGACCTTGGTGGCAGGCCTCAGACTGATGAAGTCTTTTGGATGAAAGATGAAACGTTTCTTCAGATGACATGATTTAACTTTTTTTTTATTTATGTACCTGGATGATTGAGCTTCCAAACATATTTTTTAGATGTTTTATGGTTTGCTTGCTACTTTAGCTCAGATTCTGTCAAATATTTGTAATATATCCAGCCATCAATGAGAAAAGAATATTCAATAAGAAAAATAAAGTTAAATCTTTGACATTTGACTTCATGGCCGTCTCAAACTAAACTATTTCTTTAATGATTTAAAGCCAGACCGTTGAAGTGAAGTGAACACCTGCAAGAATCTCGCTCGCTGAGTAACATTCATGTTTTATTTCAAAACATCCAGGTCGAGCACATGAATTATTCCGCAGGAAATTTTCTTCTAGCATGAACTAATTGTTAGTGCTTGTTGGCCAAAGAAATATGGGAACTGAACATGGTGTCTCAGTGCAGGTGAGGCCCACCCAGCCTGTAACGTGCAGTAAAAGTTTTCAGTGCTGCGCCGCACGAAATAAGTAACCTCACTAACTAGAATGTTCCTGGAGAAACTTTAATGGGGACTGCCATGCTGCTGCCAATTACATTTTTGATTTGACAGTACTTTGTGTTCGGGTGCTGTAGTATTCCAGTCATTTGGAAGATCTTTCTTACCACCCAGAGCTCCTCTCTGAACTTCTCACAACATTCTTCCTTCTTCAACTTCCACCATTTGGTCTTCTTCTCTGATTTTAACTCTTTTTCACAATCACAGTCATACACAACCATCTGATGCTGTCTGGCCATGTTCTGCCTTGCCACAACCTTACAGTCTCCAATCTCCCTCAGGTTTCCTCTTCTACACAGAATGTAGTCGACCTGCGTACTCCTTCCTCCACTCTTATAGGTCACTCTAAGCTCCTCCCTCTTTTGGAAATAAGTGTTGAATAAAGC